TTTCAATAATGGCCAACAGGCCAAAATGGTGTTTACCACTTGGGGATTTTTGGGTAAACAATTATTGATAAGTCTATTCATTAGCTTTGTAAAGTTTGTATGGAGCAAGGTAATGAGCTAAATATTGACCATTTAACTGGCTTCAATGTACAAAAACACTTCAGGAATGCAGATCTTCTAAACATTGAAGAGTCACATAACAGATAGGTAGCTGATAGCACAGTACGGAACACTATCAATAGATCTACTAGTTTTATGTCCTATAAATCTACCAGACTCTACCCTCTAAACACACCAAGTAGTAGTGACTGAGTGACTGACTGCACTGTTCTTATTTAATTCAGACCAATAAACCAATACTAAATATAAACTGAACAATAACCAAACAAACCTCATACGACTTGAAACGAGACTTGAGTTATGAGAAAAGCTAACACTGTTTGAAATAAACATGTGCACAATTCAAATATTTTATATCCATTCACTGCATTTAATTATTTTGTATATTGTCTTATAATTGTAATTGTTTTGTTTCTAGTTTTAAATTCACATATTTAAAGATTGAAATTAAATATTTTAATTAGAATAGGTACTTGTCTTAGGGCGGAAAATCTTTCTAATTGCCTAAAAGGTCAATACAATCTCAACCTCTCAATATACAGGGTGGGGCAAAACCGAGTGAGCAGTTTTGAGGTAGGTAATATAAAACAGTAATGGAGGTACATAAAGAAGAAAATTTATTTTCCTAGAGGTTAGCATAAAATACCATTTAGAATACTTATGTTTTGAAAACAATATCTGGAAGATGGGGGGCCATTAGCTGCAACACACTGTTGGAGTCGTTCTCAGAGGAGGGAGTAACCATGACAGTGAATTCCTAGCGCTATGCTGCAATGATGCAAAATTTCTTGCGGCCCAGGACGGAACATTGTTGAAAATGAAGCATTGGGAGACGTGTGGTTCCAGCAGGATGGGGCTACAGCTCACACAGCCCGAATGTCACTCAATGTTTTGAGACGCATGTTTTCCGGACGTCTGGTGTCTCTGAGGGGTGATTTACAGTGGCCTGCGAGGTCACCTGATTAAAACATTTGCGATTTCTTTCTTTGGGGACATCTAAAAGAAAGGGGTTCAGAAGTCGCCCTCACACCCTACCACAGCTAAGGGAACAGATTATTGCAGCAGAGGTTATGGCCATACCTAGCCATATGTGTGAACGTGCTGTAGAAAACTTACGTGAATGACTCCAACAGTGTGATGCAGCTAATAACCCCATCTTCCTGATATTGTTTTCAAAACATAAGTATTTTAAATGGTATGCTATGCTAAGCTTGAGGAAAATAAACTTTTTTCTTTATGTACCTTCATTACTCTTTTACTTTGCCTCAAAACTGTTTAATCAATTCTGCACCACCCTGTATAAGCTAGCTAACACATTTAAATTGTATATTGTAGTTAAAGACTATATAATAGTTAAAGACTACTTGTAGCCTTATAAGAATTATCTAAGCTGCTAGCTATGTACAATGTATTGCACACTTGATGCCTCTGTACCAAAAACATTCAATTTATTGGAACATAGTACACACTAAAGGCAACAAGTTTATATACCAATTTGTCATTCATATAGCATTATTTGAATGGTATCCAATTTACTTGATTTTGTTCATATGTCAACCCAAATTTTGTTACTCTATGCGTCTTTAACTTGAAAATGAATGTTGTACATTCGAAACATCGTTCAATATTAAAAATGTCTATCGGTAATTTGATTTTCAATCTTCCAACACCTACGAAGAATTTAGTACGACTTATTGAAAAAACTAACAAGAAGCTAATAAATAAAACTAATTCTCTGGTCTTTAACAAAACTTGCTTAAGAGAAGAAATTCTGCCAGCCTATACTAACAATCAGAGCTGGACACGTGGACAGTGCTACTTTGAAATGTAGTGGCCGCTACCGCTTCATGCTCTAAATGTAGCGGGCGGCCGGGCGCTACCGCCAGAATTGGAATTTAATGCTTATTTTGGAAGTTTCATGGCCTCAAAAACAAACTGACAAGTTTCACAAAATTTAAAATCTCATGGCTTTGCACGATGGCCTGATTGTGCACATTTGTCAACAATTAGATAGGAAGTATAGGTATATAATTCATTTAGCCAATCTTGTAATTTCAACAGTGGTAGGAAAGCTCTACTGTTAGAGTGTTAGTTGTTAGCTAATTTGGAATATCAGGCTGAAGTTTCCTAAAATTTCTGGAAAAAAAAAATATTTTTAAGACCACTGGAAAATTTTTTAATCTTTTTACTGAAAAAATTTAGAAGAGGCCATGTAAAGTAGAAACTAGTAAAATAAGCTAAATTCACTGGTGCTATAATCTGATTTGTTCAAATGTCTTCTCATTGACATTCAGTAAGAAGTAATTAAGTACTCAATAATTTTCAATTTAAATTATTGTATAAATGATATAATGAGGAATGACAGAGAGGTAACTCTTAACTAGTAATTATTTGAAATAAGACACAGTAAGGTATTATGATACTTGATCAGGCAGCTTTATTGATTCTATTGCAAGAGCCTGAAGAGGATGCAAGTGTTGGAGCTGTCAGACCGTAAGTGATGCATATAGAGGCTGGGCTGCTCCTGCAGCTAAAAAATGTTCGTCTGCAACTGCCTTATGAGCTCATGGTATGCTTGAGGTCAAGGAGCTTTTATAGACTTACTACAATGATGTCACAGAAGGTGACACAGGTAATGCTACTGAAGGTTTCAGGTGTGGATATTTGGTGGTGACAGAAGACAACACCAGACAGATTCACAGGTTGCTTCTGCCTAATTTTTCAGTTAGGTAGTCGCCGCTCTAAAGATGCAGGTAGACATATTCTATACCGGTAGAAGATATATTCTAGTTGAGAACTAGAAGGTAGCAATTGAATGGATCAAAATACTGTATAGGTCTGAGCCAGTTCAGAATATTGGCAAAATTTTCTAAAAATTGCAGTTAAAAAGATTGTCTCACAAGTGTTGTTTGAAATTGTTGGCAAAAATGTACCGTTTTCCTTATTTTCACAAAAGAAATTTGATAAGGGCCATCCAAAGGTGCAGGTAAAACTGTTAATCATCCATTTCCATCAAACTGGGAAATTGGTCAGAAACCACCTGTATACGAGGCAAAAATGCTTATGTTTGATTACTATTTCACTCTTTATATAGCTTTAAGCTTGCTTCTCTGGTAGAAAGTAAGAATATTGGAATGTTTTGGCCCTTGATTTTATAAAATTACCCATAACACAATCATTTTTACCTGCAATTGCTGAAAAATTCTGCCCAATGTTCCAGATTAGCATGTGTACATTAATTCTCATTCATTTGTAGTTTCTGCCTCATAAGTTAATTGATATCTCAACAGTTAATCAGCCTATTAGCAGCCTGCCAAGCAGCAAATTCACAAGCAATCCACGAATGAACTTTTTCTTTTTAACAATTATGCCAATTACTAATGTTTATGAAATGACAATTTCACTGCTTTATGATTTGTTTCTTTGGTGAAAATGAGGATAAACTGTACTACATTTGTATGTACCTATATTTTTTAAAATTGTCAGTGAAATTATATTCTAAAAGCAATTTTTGGAAAATTCTGCTTGGTGTTCCAGATAAGGCAGCCTGGGGCTAAAGGTCTGGGGTTTGTTCATGTTCATGTATGAAATATATACATGTCAAATAATTTCACACTTTTGAGCTTGATTAAAGGTTTCGGACAGTTGTGCACATTTTATTGCTGAAAAATGACCTTGTTAAATATTAAAACAAATAGATTAGTTGACTTTTAACTTCATTTACATTTTTACCTATTTTACTATCTAGATGAAACTGCTCAAAATCACAATTAGAAATTTGCTAAAATAACTAGCACCAATTACTTGCCTTAGTTTTGTCCCCAACATGCATTTGCATTCTGGCAAGATTAAATATCTATCTAAATTCTGAATTCGTTATAAGATTTCTCTACCTAATCCAGCAGTATTGATTAGGTAATTATTTTCAATTGTGTGATCTAGGTATTTTATGAGTTTAGTCAAATTTTATATGTTCAGTTTTGATGTATTACTATTAACTTAACATTATTGGCATCAATAAATCACATTTCAAACTTCAAATGTACTGAGGAGATTAAATTTTAGCCATGCCAGTTTTGATGTCTAATTTCTCAAGCCTTTCAATATGAAATAAAATTCACTGTATCTATCCTGTTTCAGATGGCAAGCCACCCTGGAATGCGTTGGATAAATTTTGTTGATGAAAGTCTGGCTCTTGGAAGAATAAATACTGATAGAGAAAAGCCAAGTGGCATCTTGCCTCTTACTGGAGAGCAAACTGAAGAATATTACAATGATCTCATAAAAAACTGTCACCAAACTTTGGATTCTCATGAGTTAATTGAAGTTAGTTCAGATGATGATGCAGATCTTGTAATTGTTCCTACAAAAAAGAAACAATACTCTGACATTGAAGTGGTGTTTGAAAAGAAATCAAATAAATTAAAATCAAAGCAAGTTCTTTGTGGCAGATTTTGGTGTAAGATTTGTAAAGTGAAATATGATTCACATGTTTCACATGAAAATTCAATTGCTCATCAATTTAATGTGTCCATTGCAAAAGGAGAGGATCTCTCCAAGCATGACTTTTATATTCCCTCATTTAATAAAGGTTATCAAATGATGCTTTGTCAAGGCTGGGACAGTAAAAGTGGGCTAGGCCCTAGCAAGTCAGGTAAAAAATTCCCAATCAAAACTGTCTGTAAAGTTGATCGAGAAGGGTTAGGACTGCGGAAAGAAATTGCCAGAATCAGTCACACATTTGACTCGGTGAGAAATGCTGCACTTGAACCCCTGCAAGAAGCTAAATCAAAGAAAGGAAAGTTGAAGCCCAAGCAACTCATGACGCTAGAAAAACTTAAGGAATCCCTTATCAAGAAATCGTTATATGAAAGTTGACTTTGTGCATGAATTACTGATGTTAAATTATGTCTTTTGTACCTTAAACTTTTTTGACACATCTTTCCTTGCAACAGAAATTCATTTTTATAGCAAATATCTGTTTAAAAAAACTGGTTAGAATCCATTAATTCTAGTACACAATGGCGGAATCTCAGGAGATGCAGCAGCTGCACAAGCTCTTAGAAGATTTGGAGGCAGTGGCAGAAGAAGTGATGTGCGATCAGCAGGAAATTATCACCTTAGACAAGAGACGCAACACAAATCGTGAAGCACTTCGTGCTCTCAAGAAGACTTGTGTGCCTAAACATCAGCCCCTTGCTCCTGAAGAATGTGCCAGCACATCAAGCCTTCCATCAGTCCCTTTATGCCATTCTGCTGTCAATTCCAGCCATGCATGGATGTGCATTGGGGACATGTTCATGAGCATGCCAAAGACATTCCTCGTGTCTTCAATAGAAAAAGGTTCCAGTTGCTATAATTTGTTATCTTTCCTAATTTTCAATTTTTTACATGTAAATCCGCTGAGTGGCTTTATTTTTCATGTCATGAAAAAATAAGTTCTTCTTCTTTATTCTATGGCAATTACTAGCAAAATTCAATTAATTAATTCATTCAAGTTAATTTGATAACGTAAAAACTATCACATCCTTCAATATCAAAACATTTTTCACATCCTGACATGATAATGAAATTCTCAACTAAATAATTATTTGTCGTACTGACGCTGTTAACGTTCCATCCAATTTACAGAACAGGAACAAATGGATAAAGCGATTGACCGGCTGCGAGATGGCCTGCGACACAAAGTTGACACTCTCCGCAGACTGGAAGGTGAAGAGCCCAGACGTGGGGCGCTGCTGAGACCGCTCAGCAGGGACGAGTGGGCTGGAGTTGAGAAAATGGTAGCTCACACGAAGTAGTTGTAGCCTTATTCTGCATTACCATTTCCAAACTTGAATTGTTTTATTTATTATACAGCTCACACGAAGTAGTTGCAGCCTTATTTTGCATTACCATTTCCAAACTTGAATTGTTTTATTTATTATACAGCTCACACAAAGTAGTCATAGGCTTATTCTGTATTACCATTTCCAAATCGGAATTTTATTTATTTATTATATCATATGGTCAAGGTCAAATTGTTCGTCATTCGGTCTAAATTGTGGAACTTAGAGCTGATAGATAACTTGAGCATAGATACTCAAGTTTGTTACTTTTCTCCGACTTGTGTCGGAGAAACAATTTCAACTTATTTACATGTTTACCATTTATCAAGGCAAATACCCAAAGACCGTGAAAAATGCACTAACTTCAGATGTAGAGTCAGATGGCAATTGTTTCGATCTTAGACAATAATTTCATTTGAATCATCCCCTTGATTGCTATCTGTTCGTAACACTTCCTTGTGTTAGCCCTTGTACCGAGCCTATATATGGCCTCTGACAAGACCAGGAAGTCGGTCATAAGCAAGAACGACTGCGTAAATGTTCGACTCGCTCCCTTGCGAGTCGTGAGCCTAAGATAGAAAGTGTTTTAACCTCGTACTCCGATCTATATTCCTATAAACTGTAAGCCATGTACAGTCCATAAATAAGTACTCCGTTTATCTTTACTCTGTGCCTCATTAATCCTAATCACTACCACTTACCGAACTAACCTCAGGTCATATATTTAAATATTAGGAAATAGGGCACGACAGAAAAAAGTACACCCTTAAACTAGTTCCATCTGGCGTACCAAGGATATTGTTGAGTGTGTCACTCCATTCTGATGGAGAAATGATAAAATTTGTTCATGTATAATTTATTTGTTCCAGTCAGCAGATGAACTTGTTGATGAATTTCCAACGCAGCTCGTTTGATATCAGATAGCTACCTCGTAGAACCAAGCCAGCGTAATTACTAATAGCTTCCTCATTTCTCTAGTTTGGTGTGTTTCGTCAATCCTTTAATATACCACACAAATTTAGGCATCGATTGTTAACATTGACGTCCGAGATATAACGTTCATTTGACGTCGAAGAGAACGCGACTGCTTCTCAAGCACGACATGGATAAGCTATGTGTACGATATGAATAAATAATCAGGAGTTTGTCAAAGCCTTCTTTCTACGACATCGGATGGTTTCCACACCTTGGGAAGTTAATGTATGTAAACGAGCAAAAAAAAAACTATAGTTAATGGTCCACCGTCAAGTCGGTCATCATCGACAGAACATGTAGACTTAGCTTTCCTCGTACTCCCAGAAAAAAAAATCAACAAGCCTAATGTGCTTCGACATCTTAACTGTGATCTATGTTCTAATTGGCACTAGATTAGCATCTAAAAAGCATTTCTAACTTCAATATCAATAGTGAACGGTTTACTATATTGTTTCATCATCGAAGGAAAAAGTCGGTGGTTCATGGTCATCTATTTCTAAGGAGTTCGAGCTCAGCAGCGAGCTATTGGCACTAAACAAGACCCCCGCTTCTGTCCTCAACTGTTTCGAGGTGATGTGATGGGTGCGGTAGAGGTGGGTGAGAGCATTAGAACGATTTCTACAGTTTTTACCGCACACTGGACACACGACAAGGTTAGGAGATGCAGCGATGTGCATATCACGGATGTGGCGGCTCAGGTTACAGCGAGCCGTGTAAACTTTGCTGCAGTGCGGACATGGGTAGCCTCCTTCCCTGCGGCCCCGGCTGCTGCACATCCCCCAGTCCGCACCTGAAACAAAAGCCGTCGCTTGTCTCGCGTATACAATATTTTTATACATGTATAGTACAATATTTTTTATGTATACAATATATAATAACATGTATTTAATAGTTTTTAAAAGTTTATTCAATATTTTTTTTGCTCTTGCAGCATGGCGTTCTCGATTTTTTCTTCAATTCTTTATTAATCTATCTTTTGTTTTCATTTATTACTATTATTGACAAATAATTTCAGTTTACAACTACACATTTGGGGAACTTAAAACTTTCTTCTTCATTGGAGTTAGGTATCCGCCCTTCTTACATAACGATTCTGTAAGCAAGAGGCCTGTATTCGAAGTTAATTTTCGTCTGTAAATTTTTTTTTTTTTCAATTCTCTCGATGTTCGACTATTTAGGCTACAAAGACAATGCAATAAAATTTCAATCAAAACTCAGGGAATGAAATTACACCGCATGTAGGATATGAAAAGACTTATTAGATGCAGCTTTTGCAATATTTTAATTTAGGTAGCATGTTTACAAGATGAATGTGAGCCTTTGTTGAAAAGATACGAAACCAACAATGTAAACCAGGGCAAGGAAGCGGGTACTTGGTATTCTCGATGCAAGAAGCTACACGAGATATCGCTGCAGAAGCCAAAATATTGTGTAACAATCACATGGCGACACGGAAATGTAACCTAATAACAACTTTCCAGCTTAGAAAAATGCATCCGCAACTTGAACTTTCTGACGGGTTCAAGTGATCTTGTTCAACACAGAAGCCTCGAAAGGAAGTAATTCACAGTTTTAAGCAGATGAGCGTAAAATTACAAAGCACAGCCTTAGCAATGGCTTTAACTAATAACTAACAAATAACGAGAACACGCGGAGGCATACACACCTCGAGCTACTATTACTGTCGTAATGGTAAGCGTGATAAATCAAATCCCCCGAGAGAAGCAAGACAATATTGCAGTGAATCAATGCACAGCGATAAGAATTCTTAAATACGATTGATTTGGAGCTTAGCGAAGATAACCTTCAAGAAACTGCAAATATGGGGAGTTAAGCGTCGATATCTCCTACAATAAACACAGCCATACATCAAGCTTATTACTTCAAATAGATAATGAATAATACAATTTTTGGGCACGTGCACATAAAATGGTATTAAATTTTATTTCCTGCCTTATTAGACACGTCTCGTGCAATGAAGAATAAAACAAATATTCATCTAAGCAACACGCAACAAAGAGTAAAGTTAGCTTAGAGCTAATGGATCTTGCGAATAGGATTGACATTGGGTTAGCTAATAAATATAAATATTAAACAGAGTTAACCTCAATTAGCATAGAAATCATAATTTAGCTAGACTCTAGAAGCGTTCAATTTATCACAGTTCCAATCTAGATGAGAAAACGATCATTCGATTTCTGAATCTTTAATAACTACGTTACCTATAAAAAATAAGAAGAATACGATAGCTTAGGGCGCTACCTTCATTAGGCACTACAGGAACTTAGCGACCACCATCACCAGCACAGCCATATATCGCCACCATCACCAGCACAGCCATATATCGCCACCATCACCAGCACAGCCATATATCGCAACCATCAGCAGCGCGCCATATATCGCCAGCATCACCAGCACAGCCATATATCGCCACCATCACCAGCACAGCCATATATCGCAACCATCAGCAGCGCGCCATATATCGCCAGCATCACCAGCACAGCCATATATCGCCACCATCACCAGCACAGCCATATATCGCAACCATCACCAGCACAGCCATATATCGCCACCATCACCAGCGCGCCATATATCGCCACCAGCACAGCCATATAACGTACTTCATCTAAAATTACAATACCAAGTTAACAACGTTACTTCCAATTAACAGCGTTAGTTATCCATACTTCCTATATCACTAGAATAGAAAGTTAACAATGTAACACATACCCACGCCGTGCACCACCAAAATATGAACTTATCCACGGTACGTATACGTTATGCATGCGACACTGCAATATGAGCCTCGCAACGTCGCGCATTCGTCGCATCATTACAAGCACAATAACAACTAACACAACAGGTACGCTTCCAGAGATCGCATCAACAACTCTTCAAATTTTATTGGCTATTTCCTCAGCAGTTTCGATTGAAATTGAGTTCCGTTTACCAAGCCAGCCCAGCGCGCTATCACTGCAGTACCGTGAGAAGATAACTCAAGTCCCTCCGAGTCAAATAAAATGCAAATTTCACGGTAAACTATTTTACATGTACTATATAAGCGTTTATTTTCAACACATAATTAAGTAATGATGCATTAAGTCCCGACTTATTACCCCTTCTCTAAATAGGCGGCTCAGCCCTGAGAGCTCGCCAAAAGATTGCTTACGTAATCTTGGTTGTCAGGTAGGTATACAGTCCAGTGAATAAAGTAATACCAAATGGAAATTAAACAAGAGCTTCACGAGAACACATCCAGTTTTCTTCTACCAATGTTACTTTCAGATTGAAAAGTGATGCGGTGGCTGCGGGTAAGGCAAATAAAGTTCCAACGTACGGAATAGATCGTCCTGAGCCAACGTCCACACACGAGGCGGACAACATTCAACGAAAATTGTATGTTGAACTAACGACTGCCAAGCATCACCTTCGCCAGCTAGGTAGAGAATTGCACTCAAATGCAAATTATTTTTTTTAAGCAGAATTATTTATTTTTTCTTGTTTTTCGCTAAGCAGAAGATGAAGAATCGCAGTCACCCTTTTTAAAGCATAACTTTTTGTGCCGCCGGATGTTTTTCTTCAGAATCCGGTTAAAATGAATAGTCTATAGGGAGCAGACGGTGTTTGCAATTATTCACCACGCCCAAGAAAAATGCAGAGCACTCAGTGTTCGACCACTGAAGATTCCCTTCGTCATGTAGATTATATTCAGAAGACTGCCGATCAACACACATCAATTTACATATCATAAAAACCACGTTTTTTACCTTGCGAGTAATTCTTTCCGTTTTTTAATAAATTAGTTAGGTTTTAAAAATCATGTACAAATCATACATCAATCAAATGAACCAATTAAATTAATGGTAAATGAATTGGTAATGTCTCTCAGAGCAGAGATCGGCTATTGCATTACCAAGGTTACTGCCAGCATTGCAGAAGTGACTATAAAATTTTTGAGGCATCTAAAGGCATTTTCTTTCAGCATAACGCGGTTTGTAGAATCCCATTTGCCGGCAGAATGCGGCGCTGAATTCTAAGAGGCATTTGACAACAAATGCCAATAAAGCCACACTACTTGGCTTGGATCTATTATTATTATTATTGGCGAAAATAAGATAGAAAAGCGGCGCGGACATGTGTGCATTCGTCGACATTATAGCTTCTAGAGACAAAATGCAGACGACGCTATTTCTTCGTTCATGGCACAGAATCACTTGCGATCGAGAAGTCAGCGAGCGCACTCGGAGATTAAGACCTATACTAAAAGCGCAGTACTTTCAAGAAGTATGACAACAAGAAAAATATAAAAAATATAACTAATTCCGGCATTTTTAAACTTTAAACGAATATTGCATCTAGGTAACCGACAACTAAATGTAAAAACAGAAATCTAAAGAGGGATGTAAGAAAAAAGAAATCTAGACATAAGGCGTTCAAAATTCAGAAAAAATTCCCACTTAACCAGCAAGTACATCAGAACAGTTGCATGCCAGATTATAGCTTGTTGAAGGAACTGAACAATTAATATTGAAAGCTGTATCCAGAGAGCCAAGTGCCTCCAACCCTCCTTGATAAACTAAGTCGTTCAATCACAATTTTGCCTACAACTTGGGTACGTGCATATTTTGGGAATAGCAGGCGTGAAACAGGACATCACGACCATCGGCAAATTCGTGGTACTCAAAATTGTTCGTTTGTAACTCGGCGTATGGGCTGCGAGAAGGATAATTCTGGGATTTGAGTAAATCGTGTAGATGAAGCCGTTGTTATAGAGATTGTGAGCAGTTCAGCTGGCAAGAAATAGTACATAAGTAAGCCTTCGCTGTTCCTGCGCCAGATCTACCATTGTCGGCGCTCGCGTGCCGTGGAATTTTTCGCGTGCGAAGGTTTTAAGCGCACAGGTCGTTCACCGACGGCAGCAAGCATTCAACGTTCAAATAACCTGTTCCTTGTCAGGCACAAGCTACTGGTATTATACGTACTGCCCTTAAGACGCCGAGAAGAGTTTTTGTTTGCAAGTAAGGCAGAATTTATTTGAAAGTTTTTTGAGCGAACATGAAAAAAAAATAATGCAACGGAAACTTATTTCAATAAGGTTACGTACGACAATTGAAGAAAAAAAACTCAGGAATTTTTAGTAATCCACGCGGTGATAATAATACTGAAACGTATAGCAAGGAACGTGCACGATCGAATAAATTGCGTCCATACGAATAAGTTATCTGAGCGACTGAAGAAGTGATGTGAAAAACAGCGAAATCACGTTAGTGCAAGGAGCTTATAGAAACGCCGGACTGCGCCCTGTGAATTGACGTGCGATAGTCACGCTTGTTAAGGGCTAGTAATGCATGACGCTGAAACATTAAACTAGAACAATAGCACTGAATAAGACGGACTGAGCATCAAATTTTGACTGTCTGCAGGTCACCACCATCAAAAGCAACCACATCACCAACACGACGCGGTAATTCAGAGCAGGTTAACTGCCGTCCCGGATGTCTGGGCGCCGCGACATCACACTCCCTCCCTCCACCCTGCAGGCTTCCCCTCCTAGCACGCTAGTTCTCCCCACCGCCGTCATGCTGCTGCACTCGATGGTTCCTCAAGCATGTCGCGTCTGCGTCGGTAATGCGCTCAGCTGCATCACTATACCGCACCCTGGGCTGGATTATCATGTAAATGTTTTCAAAATTGCCATAATGAGACCATCGTAAACAAACAAGCCGCGTCTGAGAAATACGGCACAATTATAAAACTTTGCGACGCTAAAATTAAAATACGATTTTAGAATAATACATGATTTGAATGTCAGAACTCTAAGCGATGACTACTCAGAATCGCCTGGATTAACATAATAACAATAGAAATTTTTAAGCAACATTAAATATACTGCAGGCCTGCGACGTTTATCTCATAAATCATTATATTTATATTAAAGCATATGGCCAATCTTAGAAAGAAAGTCTAGTAAATGTAAACGAAATGAAGATCAGTGATGAACGACAAGTCAATGGCAGAGATATCAATGGCCTGCAAACGCTAGTTCACTGAATTATTCCCGGGAATGCAATCAATGAATGCGATGTGTATAATACATCTCAATATAATCCATCCATTATAATCCATTCCATATATAATCCATTCAATAACAACTCAAGCTCGGGAAACCTAGTATGACACTCATCATATGAGAACACAAACGTTCCACAACTATCAGCGATACGTAATGTTTAAAAATATAGGTCATGCAAAATAATAACAGTGGAAAATAAGTGCCAAGCTTGAATGAGATATAAAAATTTTGTAGAAGGTGAACTGAAGTGGTAAATTAAGAGTGCTTTGCAGCGAGTCGTGTCGGTGTCGGTGGAAGCAAGGATTTTATAGAAAATTCTATAAAATTTATAAAATTCTATAGAAATTTATAGACGATTTTATAGAAAATTCTCTTCGAGATTCCAAGAAACCAGCGAAGTAAGGCGACTTTTCTTCAAGAATTGTCCCACATTCTGGTTAGGAGGAACCCGCGAACCAGGACATAAGCGACTAAACATGCTCAATCCTTCATCAAAAAAGGACTATAGAAAACAGCTCTTATAGAACTCAACAAGAACAACAGCAATAAAGTGAACGTAAAACTGTTAAAAAATCATCCCAATAAAATAATCTCAATATTCTTCGGCTGTTCTTACCATTATTGGAGTTACATTACTTCATAAAAGCATAATTTGTCCGTTTATCAAGACAGGCAACTAATACAGCTAATTTTATATTAATATAATAATACACTGCAAGCCTAGTAGAAGATGTACTCTGTGATAAGCGAATATTCTCACGCCAAGTAGAATTACACTCTTAACAAATAGGGTAGAAATTTAAGCCTAAATCACAGCACTTTCCACTGTTGCAATGGGCACTCATATTTTCAACGGGCCGCACTCATACTTCGCTCGGGCCGCTCTCGTACTGCCCGCGAACCGCTTTCATACTTCCCTCGGGTCGCACTCGAACAGCCTGCGGACCGCTTTCATGCTTCCCTCAGGTCGCACTCATACGGCCCGCGGACCACTTTCATACTTCCTTCAGGCCGCACTCGTACTTTCCGCGGACCGCTTTCATACTTCCCGCTGGTTGCACTCGTACTTCCCGCGGACCGCTTTCATGCTTCCTTCGGGCCGCTCATACTTCACACGGGCCGCACTCATGCGTCCCGTGAACGGGTCCTGGAGGCGCAGGCTCGGCAGTAGCTACGCTACGAAGTCGGGGGCGTCCGGTGATGCCTGCGGGGAAGCAGGTCCTCGCGGGGGTGAATGAGGGCGCGGCTGGGATGCGTGACTGTCGTCGGGGAAGCAAGGTGAGGAGGAGGAGGATGAGGGGGGTCAGAAGAGGGGGAGATGTAGGGGAGAGGAGCGTGAGTGCGAGATGTGGTGAGCTCGAGGGGCATGGAACTGGACTGGACAGGCGTGCGACCCAGCATGGCGTGCAGGGGCTCCGGGCGGGAGAATTCGCTCGTGTGCACAACGCGGGGTGATTCATACCGCGGACGGGATGCAGCTGGGACTCCGGGATGTCGAGGCATACGAACACCTCGGTGTCGGATACTCAGATGGTTATGCAGTGAATTTCGCGTCTTGTAAATATTGCCGCATACCGGACATGGGAACGCGTGCTGAAGGGTTGAATGTTTGTCTGCCACATGGATCTTGAGGTTAGAGCGCGTGCTGAGGAGCTTGTGACACATAGGGCACTGCCATCGAGACCCGCCACTCACACACCCTGTAATGATAGACACCCGTTTATTACCCTGTAATGATAGACACCCGTTTATTACCCTGTAATGATAGACACCCGTTTATTGCCCTGCAATGACAGACACCCGTTTATTACCCTGCAATGACAGACACCCGTTTATTACCCTGATTATTACCCTGCAATGACAAACACCCGTTTATTACCCTGCAATGACAAACACCCGTTTATTACCCTGCAATGACAGACACCCGTTTATTACCCTGTAATGACGGACACCCGTAAATTACCCTGCAATGAGAGACTCCCGTTTATTGCGAGCACTATCGCATGGACAGCTATGAATTTTTCCCCAAGTGCTTCCATTCAGACAGTTTTCTCGTAAAAAAAGTCGGGGGTGAATGAAGCAGGAATAAATCAGTAAAGCATAACATATTGATCAGCATTGTGAACAGAAGCAATTCACAAGAGACATTGAAGCCGTTCAAGTCAAATCCAGTCGAGCACATTTTTTAACTATGACCGACTAGTCTTTAGTGTTCTGATACCTAAAAGGATGATCTTTAGAAATCGATATTGACAAAAATAAACAATGTCTTTGATTCAACTCGACTCTCAATTTCAAGAACAAAGTAAGTTTGATCCTGTAAATCTGAAGGCAGTGCAGGTTATAATGACTGCTGTTAGTTGACGCATGCAAGACCAAGGAAAGTTCGTGAATATAATGTAAAATTGTCATGGAAGAAAACTATTATGAATTTGAGGGATAATAAAATTTTTGTATTGCATTCGAGGCGACAAACCTCATTTACTCTCTGACATTGACACATGACGACTACAGCTTGGCAACAGGCGCTAGAGGAACAAATGCTCAAAACGACAGCATCGCGGCCGAGAACCGCTCGTCCGCTAATCACAATCGTTCACATTTCAAATTTTTCTCATCATCAGATTATGTTATTCTATGATGTGATTGTATAATTATGCATCAAACTAAGTATATTTTTATCCAGCTTGGATTGAGAACTTCACTCGAAGTAGACCAGGCAAATATCTTTATACAATGTTATACAGTGTTTCGCACGACGGCTTATTCGGATTGTCGTAAAAATTAATACGATTTGTTAAAGAAAACTTTGCATTTCATATCCGTAATAATGATAACACGAGAAATGCCCTGCACTTTCCAATCCGCCGATTACATCAAAGCATAGACATAAAAAACTCGTCACTAGCACGTATCTGGAATTGGACGAAGAACTCTAGAGATAAAAAGCATTCTCATAAATTGTCGATTGCACTTTTAATGATAATGATTGCCAACTACATTTCTGAGCGATCTGTCACGAAACTAAGACGTGATAAATCTCAACAGCTGAGTGGAATGACGCAACACATGAGAACGTAACTTTAGCAACAAAATCTTTCATCAGGACAAAGTTTAGACTTGAATATTTATTGGGTTATGAGGCCAAGCAATCAACCAAATCAAAGTACAGCTGCCATCGTAACAAGATCATAAATCTAAACACGGTTCTCCATTTGTTTTCGGAAAAAACAGAACAACAGAAATGTCTTTTAAAACTGTCTCCCCATGGATCCGTTCATTATCAGCGTTCCTGAAGTGAACTAACATAAGCAATATTTAATTTTATCATCCTACTTGGCACAATGATGCTCTACAGCAGCGCGTTCATGGCATCAAATAGAACAAACGAATTTGAGCACTCGGCAGAAACGCCCCTGTATTTTTAACCTACAAAGCAATAAATTAATGTGGCATGACTGGAAGAAAACTTCCAGTAATATAGTTGCGACATGTAAATGTTTGATACAATGAAACTACGTCCGACAAAGCCTGCTAATAACACATTGCCAAACATAATGGTATGGATGAAATATGTCATTCGGAGCGACACCGAATTCGTTACATGAAATGATGCATTAAATCTACTCAAATTGCTCTGGTTTGTTCACAATAATATTGCGACAGAAATCAATTAACGAAATTACACACTAATCAATCATTCATCAAAATCCGAGAGCGATGGGAAGATATGATTGGTCGGGAAGACCTGGGCCAGTGAATGCGCCATGGCTTGTATTTGGTCATGGTTGGTCGAGTCCAAGACATCGCATGGGGGCAAGCTAGCCACGACCTCGGCCAGCGCATTGGGAGTGCCAAGGGACTGAAGGGTCTGGGACGGTCTGCTGGCAGAAGAGACGTCGACCACTTCGGCCGAGGGAAGTAAGGATCCAAGCGCACTAAGATCAGAACCAGAACTGGACGTCCGAGTAGTCAAACTCGTCGAAACTGTCGAAGACAGAGCAGATGAGGAAGAGAAAGGAAGAGATGGCATTGTAACAGTTTCTTCTACGTCAGAGCTGCTACGCAACTGACATCCTCCTAAGATATCAAAGAGCGGGCCAGAGGAAGATCCGAGCAAGTTTCTGGAGCCCATGCCTCCACTCAAGTCTGACTGACTGAAGCCCAGCGATCGATGGCCCACAAAGGATGCGGCCATTCGTGCGGCGCGGGCGGCAGCGCCGCGAGGAGACGATCGGCCGCGATGGACAGTGGACGTGTGGGTGGCCAAAGAATGTTTGGTCGAGTAGTGACGGCCGCACAACTTGCAAAGGAAGCGCTCAGTTTGTAGAGTGTGTTTGTCAGTGATGTGAGTCTTGAGATTGTGCTTGTTGCTGATCACTTTGCTACAGTAGGGGCAGACACAGCGACCACCTGCAACACAACAAATAGCGCGTCGGTCCAGTATTGTCCACTTATAGCAGCTTTCATATCCATGCATCTCTACAATAGAATTAATGCCGTAACTACTGAGAATATTTGTACATAAGAATGTAAGCTTGAAGTACCAAGCTGAATTAAAGAAGCGTAACTAATACTTCGAATAATACTACAAGAGCAGCGTCGTGCGCTGCCTCTCCAGGACAAGTGCTGTAACCTCAGACAAGACTCGAGCGCACGGTCCACTATGAATTATACGAGTACAACCTTTACGGATTCCTGCAGGTAAATGATTGCAAATCTTAGCACGAAATTGTCCTGTTGCAATCGTATTGGGAGATTGGAAGTTCAGACAAGGACTGCTGGTGACGCTTTCCGTTCATTGCCAACAGCAATCGATTAACTTGTACCCCAGTCCCACGTTTGGCACATAAGCAGAGGATTGATTTGAACAAGTTCGTGATGAAACTTATCTGCAGGATACGCGAAAACTCGATTACGCATAAAGACCATTACAATTTCGCAACATTTGAGAGATTCATTTTCAAGTGCTGTGTAACAACTACTTCCATAGAAAATTAATTTCTCAAAAGTAACAACAATAACGTTGAAAAAAGAATAGGAGAGTTGGAATGTTTCTGCTCAAGCATTTCTTGTTTGTGTTTACTCGACGAATGGACGCTCAAAACGCACGAAGCTTCGTGCCAGGAAATAAAGGATATTTGAAAAGACAAAAGACAGTAATGCTTTACTAGTAGTAAATTAAGTTTACAATTCACGGAACATTTATACATTATTCGTAGATAAAACGACAACTAGTAATGCACGTTTAAAGAGATCGTTCATCCAATGAGACAACAGAAATCAACTCGATTATTTTTTTGGAAGAAAATGAATCGCTTAGGACTTAGGTCATGGAAATAAAACACAAAAAAACATCATGATATCGCTCATACAAACGTCGGGAGGTGAGATCATTCTTGTGTCAATGGATTTATCTACACTGTTAGAAAAATTACCGTTAACGGTATATTACTGGCCATTCAGTGGCCGGTCGGCACGTAAAAAGAAACACCGTGTCGCCGTTTTTATTCTAATTTAACACTAGAAATCAGTAAAACATATGATAAAAACGGCGAAACAGTTAATTTTCACGGGGCAACCGGCCACTAGAATGCCAGTAGGACCGTTTTTTCACCGTTTTTTCTAACAGTGCACAGAAGGTTGAAAGCCGCAAAAACTCTAGCGCCACCTCAAGACAATGAGAGAAAACAACCGAAATTTACGAGTCTACGAGTAATATGAAAGATCGCTCTTGCCTCTGTGCAACAAATATAAATATGAAAAAAAAACTGGTACGAAAAATAAGCAAAATTTAGTACTAACAAAAAAAATTACAGCATCAATGAATCATATCCAGTTAAGGACAAGCAGTGAAATCTACAATTATTCCGGTGATAGAATTCCGGTGAGAACTAAGCAAGCACCATTTTAGTCAAAGTAATAAGTCCTAATAAAAAGAACAATAATCTGCGACACAGCGAACCATGAGCAGACCCAGTAATACTTAAAAATCCTCTCTATGCGAAAAATAATGATACAAATAAGTTGATCTATTGCTATAATTGGTGATGGCACTCGTGATGATGGCGTCACATATTTTGTTATGTTAATCAAACGCTAATTTTCCGTTGTCTGCTTGCGGCTACGTTAACAAATTAAACAAATACAAAATACTGAAACAGGCTATTAGCCTTTCAATTGAAAACGCTATAATATAACACGGAATAGGGCTTTCAACGTAAGCTACTTCCTTTATTTTTGTAATTATATTTCAAAACAGTGGCTTTTCGGCAGACCATTATTGTATTTAGGCTACGGTCGCATATTGGGATCACAGAACTCAGTTTTGGGCGAGAGCGGAGTGTCCATAGGACAACTGGCTTGCAGTTGTGAAAAGAATTGCTGTCGATAGGAGTTGCTGCAATAATAAGGCTGCTGTTGCTGCTGGGACATTGGCGCATTATTCATGTCGACATCAGGAGCTCGGGTGGCAGACGCGAGGTGTGAGGGAGGTCTGTTATGCAGGGTACTGATGTGTACTCGTAGCGAGTTGAGTGTAGAGTAGCAGCGACGACAGTGCGGACACTCATGAGAACTGCGTGGAGTGTGCATGTCTCGCACGTGCACTTTCAGCACGTATTTGTTGCACAGCACGCGGCCACAGTAGGTGCACTGCACCTCGTCACCAGTGCGACGCTGCACAATACCTCCTGCTTCT